TGTGTGTGTGTGTGTGTGTGTGTGTGTGTGTGTGTGTGTGTGTGTGTGTGTGTGTGTGTGTGTGTGTGTGTGTGTGTGTGTGTGTGTGTGTGTGTGTGTGTGTTTGTATCAAGAGCTAATAATATAGCAAGTTCATAAGTTCATAGTAAGTTCATTTATTTATTTATTTATTTATAAATATCTTGTTTTTTCATTTAGGCGTCTGTAAGGGGAAGAATTTGAACTGTGATTCTATGCTGGCTCTAAATAATTTCCCTAATTTTTACACTAGTTATGATTCTCTGCCTTCTTCATACGTACTCAGTCAACTTCATGCTTAGTCAGCTAAATATTACTATACGGCAAATCATGCAGCGATTAAATAAAAACCCCACATCACAGGTTCTCTAAGGCGAATCGTTAGTAAGCTTAATGTACGGCTCAGACTTACCCGACACGTTATGAGCCTAACATTTAGCTCAAGTGGTTCTGAAATGTGCGTCGAGTGTAAATTAGCCTAATGTAGAAAGCGCATTAGAGTTCCGCGGTGAGATTTCGGTCACGCATTATGCGAATATCTGCGGCTGTACGGCTGTTTTTTTAAGTGATTACGTCACCGTAAGTTATGACCGTAACTCGTGACTCATACATAGCCCCTAGCAAGTAATTGATGTCAGGATCATAATATCAAATCGTCCATTTTTTTATTATTTTTGACTAATTGAGAAACAATCTTACCAGGTAGAAATTTGAGAATGCATTTAGTCCCGTTAGTACTTACTTTTAATGTATTTTTTTACAAATATTTTTTTTTTACAAATTAACACCATAGAAAATTCGTAACGTAGTCAATTTAATACCTTTATTCGTTTTTTTATTCGCGATCGAACAGAGCGAATCAACGCGGATGACCGGAGGAGTCACTATTTCTGCGTGCAGGCGCCGTCACAGAGCGAAGAGGCTGATCTCGAGGAGCAGGAGCGGCTAGCAAGTACGTAATAGCGCGAGTTTTACACGCTGCCACCGACGATCTAACGCTCGGCATCTCAGTACATCGTACCTGAAAAGTATTCTAAGTATGTATGCAAAGTATGTATAGTACTGTATATCATATATGTGTATAGTACTACCATACATATATATATATATATATATATATATATATATATATACTGTTAATTTGTTCATCATAAATAGTGTAATATAAATACATACATATATCTCTATATGTGTGCGCGTGTAGGTGTGTTTATTTATATTTAATGAATGATGACAGAATTAGCAGAACGTATATGATAGCTTCTATAACGTATTGCACTAATTAATTATTTAATACTATTACGTGGTATTGCCTGTATCAATGTTCAATAATGTATACATATATATATATATATGTATGTATCTACATCTTTTCTAATAAAAAACTGCTATGCATATATAGAGTGCTCGTGCATGCTGGATCCACATCGTTTACCTTTAGCTATTTCCTAACTAGAAATCTTCCGACTGTTGAAGATCACCTCTAACCATGGTCGGCCTGTTACCAATGAGACAACCCCTGGATGCCTCAAATACCGCTAATGAAAGTTCCGGTGATGATTTAAGGGGTATCTTCAGCAATCGTGTAACGACAGCACACAGATTACACCCTCATCCTCGTGCAATGGAAAAGTTTTAAAATAGATTCTCCTACATTCCATAATTCTGCTGCGATCTATGGTATTATGTCTTCTATGACCTTGACAACCATTTGAACCCTAACAAATTGTTGTTATTAAATATGTGTCCATATTAGACACAATAACGTTGATAAGATAACATCAAAAGCTCATTAACATAAATGTTAATGGTTTCGTAGAAATCATCTGATTTCGTAGTAATAATAATTGATGAAACGATGATATTAAACGTAGGCCATCTTTGGTGAAATCTATCTTCGGGTTATCTTTAGACAAATCTCGGTTAAATAAAACCAGAATTCTTCTGTCTTGAGTTGACATGGAAGAGCGCTATTCTCATTTTGAATAAATACTTTTTGAATCTATTGTGTGTGGACAAACAGGCACAATGTTAGAACAGTATTAGAATTCTAATACTATTTATAAGGCGATTACTCTTCGCTTTAAATATTCATATTAATTTATACAGCGTCCGCCATTATTTCGGCACACATTTTTATTGGTTACAATTATTAGCGAATCACGATATTACAGAAAATTAATGACGTCATATTGGGACAAACTTGTTATCATTATAAAAAAAAGATTAAATAATGAAAAAAGACAATTCAAGCATTGCTAATCGTAACTATCATAGATCTAACAGAATTATCATCGTGATTTAAGCACGTACAGGAAAGGATGAACTCACGGTTGGACGGATGGACGAACAAATGAGCGTCCGAACGACTGACCAATCGACCCACCGACCGACAGACAAACAGACATATAGACAGACGGACTGGCGGGGCGAAAGGACGGACGCATAGACAGACAGACAGACAGACAGACAGACAGACAGACAGACAGACAGAAAGAAAGGCAAACAGACAGACAGTCAGTCAGGGGTTCGCTTTGCTAATTCGAGCTGTTTCCTTATTTCTGTGTTGCCACCTGCGCGGGCACTCTCTCTCTCTCGCATTGTCTACGCTAACTGGGTGCATTCCTGTGATAATTGTGATGACTTGTGGGCTCTCTCTTCCTTTCAGACCAGCCCTCTTGCATGCGTGGCTTTGGTAGCATTGACTCAGCTCTTCCTTTAGACAGTAATCTTAGAAAAAGTCGTTCCATGGACGACAGACGTAAGTTACTCTCTTTAAGTATTAGCCACGTCGATCACTGACACGTTCTCCTCCAACACCCTCCCCAACATAACCTTTACACAGAGATACCCTCCACACACATAGACCTTTACGCCACCGCATGATGGCCGTGCCTGCAACTAAAATGTTGAATGCTGCCATCCGACAATGCAGAAATCTTCAGTAGATAACAGAGGCGTAACTGCTTGTATGACGTCTGTGTGCACATATCTGTTAATAACAACTACGGTAAGTTTAAAGGAAGCGGATGAAGGCAATTATGACCCGTGTGAAAGATTGTCGCCTAGTTCATGACTACTGCAAGCTATGACTCGGGCACGAAATATTCATTTTTCCGCGCTAGTATTTTTCTTATTAAAAAAGCAGATCGACCATTTAAAACTGATCACGGTTACCGAGCTTGCATTCGAGTGTACTAGTATACGTCGTCAACAGTCAATTCAATTATAGACGTCTAGCACAGTGTGAATGTGAGTTGGCAATATCACAGAAAGCCCGTTATAAAGATCCGTATTTCAATTCACTTTCGTTGTATGCAGTTCAGCGAAGCACAACCAGTGGCCATTTTCTTCAAGTGACTGATCCGGCCGTAGGAAGGTACAGAAAAACTTCTGCCCCGCTGCCCATTCGTATCAGTAGCGAGTCCGATTACGACTTCTACAGGAAAAATTCCGCTCCCGGTACGATATAATAACGTCAATATCTGCGATTGCTCGGCTAAACAAATTTTTCTTTCACCATCAGCTCTGTAGATGTCACTGCTACGAGGCTATAGCCGTCAGTCCCGTTCAGATAGTATAAGAAACGCTGTGTGTGATCTCATACTATGATGTGCGTGTGTATAGACTGCTCTGAAGTTGATGTGCTGCTCTTGCTTCTGATCTGTGTTCGGCACATTCTGTTCGTATTCACTCTCTCGTAAAAATAAAGCATGATAATGTTATTTCTCTATCTGCCGTGTGCTATACAAATCTTTCTGTGCTCGCGTAAAGGTGCCAATTACACTGCATGTAAAAACAGATTTTAACGTTTCATTATGGTATTCTGCATTGCTATTTCACCGGTAAATATTCGCTAAATATTCACCGGTAAATATCACCGGTATATAATCCCCGGTAAATATTCGAAGTATAGTTAGGTTGAGGTATTCTAACATACGATTGTGTGTTTTTCATATAGAGGTTATATAGTAGTAGGATTTTTTATAATGTATTTTTTTTCAGAGAGTTCTAGTTTTGGTAGGAAGGTGCGTACGAGAATGTCGCGAGCATTGGCGCTGGAAGACGAAGGTAAGCAAACCTTTATTCACAACATCCTCATTCACTCGATGTGTTCTTAGTTATAAACATTCTAAGTTTATATATTAATTTTTATTGGTTAATATTGTTTACACAGTGGCTACGCGTCCGCTCATCCATTACAAAAGCTCAGCAAAGATTCCCAAATCCACGTCACGATTGGGTTATGCCCCCTTTCAAATCGTTGATTTTACTGGATTTACTATTGCTTCAAAGGTTACAAAAACACGTTTTTTGATACAATACCTAAAGATAAGTACTATTATGGTAAAAACTTATTGTTTTTACTAAAAAAAATATAGTTGGGTTCACATAAGAAATATATGACCGGACGCGTAGCCACGGCCTATTGTTTTATTTATATTAAATATTATGGTTTTCCGATACCATGCATCACCTACGGGATGATGCGAGTGATCTTGAATTATGTGAAACTAATTATACATCGAGTAACATACCCGGCTTGGTATTTTCACTACCTTCTTTTCCACTTCCTCTATCTCGGGGGCTCTTAACCTGTGGTCCATGTACCCCTTTGGGGTGCGTGGATGGACTGCAGTGGGTCCGCGAACCAAACGCATACAAAATTCTGTGTTTATGTACTTATGTGCATTTTTCTGGGCAGGGGTCCGTAGATTTCACCAGATTCTCAAAGGGGTCCATGACTCAAAAAAGTTAAGAATCACTGCTCTATCTGCCCTAACTTTTCCCACGTCTTCCCTATCATTCAGCTCCGCTCCTCCTTTCTTTCTCCCTCTTGCTTCTGTTCTCTGTA